TATATTCAGATAAGAGATAGACCGGACATAAACAAGACCACGTGATCATCGAACGCTGTAACATTCGGCAGGGACGTATTAAGAGTCACGCAGTACATATTTTAGATAGTAGATGCTGCTTTGCGTAACTTTGTAGTAAATTAGCACAATTCGATGTGTATACGATTGGTGATGGATATAGGATCATGTGCGGGTGGGGTAAGAAATATATAATGTGTAAATATACATAAGGGTTTCAAAATTTTCGCTTCGATTTCCAGCTTCGGATGCCGCCTGATGTTTGGTGAAATACAGTCGAATATAATCTCAAAATGGCGGTTAAATTAGCCTAAATTAAAAATAATCGTATATCTCTTAAAATTGCTTTTAGAATATTGATTAGTATATTTTTTGATTTCTAGGTAAATATGTAACCAAATTAAAACGTTCAAAACGTAAAAAAATGTGCATGGTTGAACATTGTCAGAAAGTAGATTCTTGAATAGGTTTTGCCAAAATGGGTTCAAAAATGTCAATAATTAATTAAAAAATAAATAAATAAAAATAACTTACCGAATTTGATGAACGACATCTTTTATTGGAAAGATGAGCTTGATGAGCTTTCATCATCGCTACTGCCTGAAGCACCAACGTCAATAATGAATGGCTCGACTTGTTCCTCTAAAATATTGTCCAGTTCCCACATTCTCTTTTCAACTTTGTCTTTCACGTGCTTAATACAGTTTTCCCATTTTTGCGCTGTTATTAATTCTAGTGCTTCTTTGAAAAGTCCTTTGAGGTCACAAAATTTAAAAGTTGTATTGTGCTTAGCTATATAATTTTTAACCTCTGCCCATATGAGCTCAATGGGATTGAGCTCGTAATGGTATGGAGGTCAACGGAGCACAGTTTTATTTTGACTTGCTGCCATTTCGTCAATGGCGTATTTTTGATATTCCGCTTTGTGATCCTTGACAATTCTTAATAATCGTACTTTCAGCATTGCTTCTTCAAAGTTGATATTTTTCGAGCGGAGCCAATTTTTAACATCAACTTTCCTTGAAGCCGTTGTTGGGACCTTCTCCATTCTTCGAGAATGATAAGGCGCATTATCCAACACAATTACTGCGTTTTCCTCTACGTTCGGTAAAATTTTTGAAAACCACTGTTCAAACGATTCGCCATTCATTTCCTCGTGGTAATCTCCAGTTTTCTTAGACTCAAAGCACCACAGACCGTCAACAACAAATCCATCCTCACTGCCAATATGGCAGATAATGAGCCTTTTCCCTTTACCTGGAAATCGAAGTACTAACTGGTGTAGATTTATTTCAATAAGCGAACCTTTTTCAAATGTTTTCATCACATTCAGCGAAAAAACATTGAGACATGAGTATCAGATTGCTATAATTGGGATTATTTAGTCATATTGAAAGAAAGAATATTGAACGTCGTATGATTACTCAGCACTTCACAATTTAATTTAAAGTTATAAACCTTTAAAAAATGAATGATCAGGAACCTGAAATACGCGCAAATATTAATATTAACAAATTATAACTTTATAAAGCTTAAAGTATGAATTAAAATGATTAGAAATATTAGGAACGGTAAACAATATAAAACATAGTAACTTTTTTTAAGTTTATAATATTCGACATATTTTAAGATTATATTAAAAAATTATTGAAATATCGAAAACACATAAAAACATGGCTTAATAAAGTTCTAACAAATGAAAATGACAATAAAACATCCACGCATTTTATCGAAAGTTACAAAAGTTTTGTTACTTGTAATATGTTTTATCTGCCCCCTGGCATTAATGTTTAGAACCTTGTTCCCAAGGTTTGAAAAACATCCGATTGTTGTCTATTACTCGTATTTACCTGCTGGATTTTTTAATCCGGTGGACAGTCCATCTAGAAAGGCCCTCCTGGATGAAGTTACAGAATCATCAACCCATACTTTATTTGTAGTGTGTCCTGCGTTTACCCACGTTTTATCAAGGTAATAAATCTTCCTGTTTTGATTTCTATATTTCCCAATTTTTGTTAAATAATCCCTCCTCCATAGCACAATTTCTTCTCTATCCAGTAGTAAACTATTACGACCCCGTTTTTTCTATTTGAAATTTAAATGCTTCAGTAACGCATGGAAAGTTGATCGTTTGAAATTTGGCAACGTTGTATCTCCATTTACCTCCTGCAGTACTTTATCTATAGTAGGTATTTCATTCCTAAAGAAGAATTCGTGCACTTCCCTCCTAATCGCATGCTTATCAGCTTCATCCAATGATTTAACAATAATTTTGCGATGTTTACTGGTCATTGGCTCAGAAAAGGTGTGATTTTTTTTGTATTGTCTTAACACATTAAACACTGATGCGCGACACACCCCAACTTTGTGAGAAACTTTCACAACAATTTCTTTGATGGTTGATGCCTCGTTCTCCTCGCGCTCGATCTTATATATATTCAAAATGACCTCTTTCGTTTCTGCACTCAGGTGTCTTTTTTTAGAGCGTTTCCTAGGTGGACTACAGGAGTTTACAACTTCATCGGCAGTATCTGTACTACTGGGCATTTTGCGCAAGCAGTTGATAACAATAACAATCAATAACAAGGTATAACAATAACAACGACAAACTCAACAACTTAATAAGATAACAAACGAAAACGGCCAAAGAAATATCAAATTGCAATGATGCACACGACATACGTAACACGTCTGAACCTGAATGTGACTCTGCCTTGATACGACTGCTCTGCCGCTCGGCATAGGCATTTAATTGCGAATTGACCAATGAGGGCTCCTGTTTTACGTCGAGACGGCGGCGTTAGCGTGAAAATCACCCGAACCTTTTGTTTACATCCGGTCTATCTCTTATCTGAATATACTGTAGTTTTGTATTTTCTAGGAAAATAAAGGTAATCGTGGTTATTATAGATAGGTATGCCTGAAATTTTTATTGTATTCACACATGAATTATTAGGAGAAACGTTTTAAAAATGTCGAAAAATACTTTGTGGGGACTTGAAACGATTGAGTTACGGATGATCGCAATTTTTCTAATTTCTTTTATTTGATTAACAAGGTTTTGACTAGAAACTGCTACTTCAAAACATCTAAATTGCTACTTTAGGGCCAATTTTTTGGTCCCGTGATTGACATTGTCGGAGGAAGTGTATAGATGCCCGACGAGAAGTGTATAGAGATACGACATCTGTGCACTATTCGGCATTAATGTGCCAGGCTTCAATATTTAGCTTTACCACAAAGGACCAGACAAAATATATACTCAATTATGGTTTGATACAAGCGTTTCAACACGTAGCAGCTCTTTTTATTCTAGAACATCCTCCCCTTTCAGTCGCAGGTGCATTTAAGGTTATCTGTGGCTGTCAAATTAAAAAAACAAAATCTAGGAATTTCGTAGTCTACTCGTACTCAATCCTTCAATAATTTTTTTCATTTATTCTCGTAGTGATGAAAATTCGTTCAGACAAGTTTTTCCGACATTTTACAGTATGAAAAAAGTTTCTATAAACATGGGTCCGGAAATGCATAGTTTACAAGATACAGGGTGATCAATTGAAAAAAATATTTTTTTATTATTGTTTTAAGTATTTACTCGATTCTCTTGAAATTTGGCAATATTATTTACTACATTAAGAGGCTTATTTAGCCCTAAAAAGGGTAAAATTATTATGTCCAGAGGCCGCCCGCGGGGGGGGGGGGCACCTTAGCGAATATTATTGGCAAAAAAATGTACGCCACTGCCTTTTTTGTAACTTAAGTATTGGTTGTTTGATTAAGCATCTAAAAATAGAACTTTTTTGCCTCTTGTATTTTTTTCGTATCTCACTTTGTTTTCGAGAAAAAAAGAAACGTTTTAATCCATGTCACTGGTCAAAATTGGTTTATTAATTTTTGCCAAAAAAAAAACAAGCGCCAAATTAGGCTGCTTAATACAAAAAATAATATTGCAAATTTCAACACAATCGAGTCAATATTTTTTTTAAATTTACAACCCTGTATAAGGAACAATTTTCAGTGAATCTGACTTGAATCATCAAACTCTAAAAAAGTTTTAAAGAAACCCAGATAATACTTCTGATCATTTATTATTTATTTCTAGAATTACAATCGATATAACTCAGCTTAACAGTAAGTAAATAATTTGACAATAAATTTTTTCAACACAATTTTAAAAGATGCATTCACATTGAGATCGACATCACAACATTTCATGGAAAATTGAATAGCACAAAGCCCAAAATTTCAAAACGAAAATAAAACAATACAATTTAAACTACAGTACGTATACGATATCTATTAAAACTGTATAATACTTAAAGTAGCTACATACAACATAAAAATAAATAAATGGGAAACTAAAATTAACAAAATATTTTAGTTTGTACCATCATCAAAATGAAATATGTTTATTCTTGGTCTCAAAAAAAATACATAAACAAAATTATACAAATTCATGGATTACAAACGATGTATAGTCCCACCTCTCATATTACGTAAACCACAAAAATTACAAACATGTAAAAAGTCTTTTCACACAGAATATTAAAACTTAGTATTTTTACAAAATGACATTAAAATACACATCATAAGCATTGCGAGAGTTGGTCCCTTCATTTCAAAAATATTACACAATTTGTACAGAGAAAAACACAAAGACTCTTCAATAAAGAAATTTCTTGCATCATTTATATAATATAGTACTGAGTGGCATAAGAAAATAGTCTATATTCACAATTTTAGCGTTTACCTGATATGTACAAAAATTATACAAATGTAAAACATCGGTATCTTAAAGAACCCAACTTGTTTAAAAATAAATTCTAAGGTAAATTTTCATTCTATTGTACTGGACGGCATTAAGAACGTATTCACAAATTTGGACAAATACGTATGTACACACCTTATTTTTGAAGAAACATTTTGCTTATCAAAATAATCTTTGCGAATGCTTCACCGAAAACGAGGATTTGAAAAAAGTGTTATATCCATTTTAAGTACTGCTGAAATTCATTCAAACGTTGCTTAAGGGATACTTTCTCTATTCCGTTTTCTGTGATAATATCAAGACAATATTCTTGACCAGGATCTATCTCTGGACTTTTGTTATTGTCATCTTCATCGTCGTCTTCGCTATCGTTCATGAAGTCAGGACAGTCTTCTTGACCAAGGTCTATTTCAGGATATGTCCAACTCATCTTCATCATCGTCTATATCGCGACTAAGGTCTCTACGATCTAGACTCCACAGACGGATTTCTAGGTCTTGGAGAGCCTCTCTCCTGATCCAGATCTTCCCTGGGAATGTACCCATCTCCTAGCCCATCCGTTGGTACATCAACAACACCATGTGTTAAAGCGTGTCGACGCAGATCGCAGTTTCTTCTGAACACTTTGCCGCAAGAGTTACACTCGTCCGGCTTGTGATCGGTATGGGTCTTTTATGATCTCAGCACAGTCTTCTTGACCTGGGTCTATTTCCGGATCTTCGTCCAAGTCATCATCATCATCGTCTATATCGTGACTAAAGTCTCTGCGATCTAACGAAGGTCTCATGGTATAAGGACTGGAGGAAGAGCATGGTTCATGGCACTGAGTCACTGCAGGCACTGGAGAACAACCTCTAGCATCCCTCTCATCTCTAGACTCCACGGATGGACTCCTAGGTCTCGGAGAGCCTCTCTCCTGATCCAGATCTTCCCTGGGAATGTACCCGTCTCCCAGCCCGTCAGCTGGCACATCACCGACAGCGTGTGTGAGTGCATGTCGACGCAGGTCGCAGTTCCTTCTGAACACCTTTCCGCAAGAGTTACATTCGTACGGCTTGTGATCGGTATGGGTCAGAAGATGCGTCTTCAGATTGGAACGATGGTTGAAGGATCTGCTACAAACCGGACATGTGTTGGGAGAGTCCTCAACGTGGAGGACATCAATAGATCCTCACTTAAGTTTTAGAATGATTGAATCAATCTAAATGTGATGTTCTCATGCACTATTTACAAATAAATACACTGCCTAAAGCAACTGGGTCTAACTATCTCCCCATTATATCAGCTATAGTGAATCCAGTCTTCTTTGGAGGTCTAGGAGGCTGAGGCGGTGGTTTAGGTGCTTCCTCGTTATTTTTCTTCATACTCAAGTCGCTAGCGACGTTGCTACAGCTAGGCCCAGGCTGTATTTGCAAGCCTTTCAAAGATCCTGGTATGGCTGGTCCAAATATCATCGATGGTGGAGCATCAGGTGGTTTGTGAACACTTGAAGAAGACATGGAGAGGTTTTGAGGACCAACGTCTGAAGGGTGGTACATTCTTAGATTCATTGGTGGAGTGTGTGACCGAGAGTATGAAGGAGTTGGACGATCTTGGTCCAAGGCTCGTTTTCTGAAGGATCCTAGAAAGTTTGGCTCTTGGTTGTCGCAGGTTATAGTCGACGGTTTCGAATGCAGATCTCTTCTGATGTGCAGTTGTGGCATATGTATCGGCTGAGACTCCGGCAAGGACTCTTCGCTATCTTTTATGATCTCCGCACAGTCTTCTTGACCAGGGTCTATTTCCGGATCTTCATCCAAGTCATCTTCATCATCGTCTATATCGTGACTAAAGTCTCTGCGATCTAACGAAGGTCTCATGGTATAAGGACTGGAAGAAGAGCATGGTTCATGGCACTGAGTCACTGCAGGTACTGGAGAACAACCTCTAGCATCCCTCTCATCTCTAGACTCCACGGACGGACTCCTAGGTCTCGGAGAGCCTCTCTCCTGATCCAGATCTTCCCTGGGAACGTACCCGTCTCCCAGCCCGTCAGCTGGCACATCACCGACAGCGTGTGTGAGTGCATGTCGACGCAGGTCGCAGTTCCTTCTGAACACCTTTCCGCAAGAGTTACATTCGTACGGCTTGTGATCGGTATGGGTCAGAAGATGCGTCTTGAGATTGGAACGTTGATTGATGGATCTGCTACACACCGGACATATGTGAGGAGACTCCTCAACGTGGAGGACCTCAATAGATCCCCACTTAAGTTTTAGAATGATTGAATCAATCTAAATGTGATGTTATCATGCACTATTTACAAATAAATACACTGCCTAAAGCGACTTGGCCTAACTATCTCCCCATTATATCAGCTATAGTGAATCCAGTCTTCTTTGGAGGTCTAGGAGGCTGAGGCGGTGGTTTAGGTGCTTCCTCATTATTTTTCTTCATACTCAAGTCGCTAGCGACGTTGCTACAGCTAGGCCCAGGCTGTATTTGCAAACCTTTCGAAGATCCTGGTATGGCTGGTCCAAATATCATCGATGGTGGAGCATCAGGTGGTTTATGAACACTTGAAGAAGACATGGAGAGGTTTTGAGGACCAACGTCTGGAGGATGGTACATTCTTAGATTCATTGGTGGAGTGTGTGACCGAGAGTATGAAGGAGTTGGACGATCTTGGTCCAAGGCTCGTTTTCTGAAGGATCCTAGAAAGTTTGGCTCTTGGTTGTCGCAGGTTATAGTCGACGGTTTCGAATGCAGATCTCTTCTGATGTGCAGTTGTGGCATATGAATCGGCTGAGACTCCGGCAAGGACTCTTCGCTATCTTTTATGATCTCCGCACAGTCTTCTTGACCAGGGTCTATTTCCGGATCTTCGTCCAAGTCATCTTCATCATCGTCTATATCGTGACTAAAGTCTCTGCGATCTAACGAAGGTCTCATGGTATAAGGACTGGAGGAAGAGCATGGTTCATGGCACTGAGTCACTGCAGGTACGGGAGAACAACCTCTAGCATCCCTCTCATCTCTAGACTCCACGGACGGACTCCTAGGTCTCGGAGAGCCTCTCTCCTGATCCAGATCTTCCCTGGGAACGTACCCGTCTCCCAGCCCGTCAGCTGGCACATCACCGACAGCGTGTGTGAGTGCATGTCGACGCAGGTCGCAGTTCCTTCTGAACACCTTTCCGCAAGAGTTACATTCGTACGGCTTGTGATCGGTATGGGTCAGAAGATGCGTCTTCAGATTGGAACGTTGGTTGAAGGATCTGCTACACACCGGGCATTTGTGAGGAGACTCTTCCATGTGGAGGATTTTGTGAACTGCCAGGGTTCGCGATTGGCAGAAACCCTTGCCACACTCGCCGCATTTGAAGGGCTTCTCCTTGCTGTGGATGTACCTGCAACAATAGAAGCATGTCATTATTTGTCTATTGAGGCATCTAATTTAAAAATGTGTAAGCACAAGGGTAGACTAAGGAACTTAATGAAAAATACTGTGCTTTGCATAAAGGTGATATCGGTAGTTCTACTATGACCTGCCGAAAACCTTGAAAGGAACTATAGTCAGCAACATTCAGCGAGTCCTGGCTGTTAGCATCTAGCAGCAGCATCGTTCAACCTAGTTACGTAATATACTATTCCACACCTAGCAAATATTAATTATACACCTGTAGGGATACTTTTTAACTGTTAGTTTAATCTCGGGGACAAGTTTTGTGTCCCACCGCGTCGGGGGTACCTTAATCCTCCTGACGCCTGAAAAGATGTGAGATGCCGTCATCTACCTGTTCCTTTCATATTTAAAACCGAAATTTATTACCGCGAAGATAAATGGTATTCGTCGGAATCCGTAAAAAAGCCTACGACAGAAGAAATACAAACGGTCTACGGTGGACAAGTCGCATAATGGGTCCCACGAGTAGTAATAATTTTTCAATATCCATGCTGTGCTAGTCGTTTACACATAAATGTGGCTGGCGATTGTCGAGTGTCTTCATAAATGTCTATGGACGTAATAATGATGCGTATTGAATTTTCAAGTAGTCGTGATGATTGTCAGACGTTCGGTGAGCGAAGCGTTGGACCTTGAAGGGATTATTGAATTCAAATGGTTCGTAAATAGAAACCAATAGCAGAGAAAAAGCTAGTATGTTCCTTTCCAGACACGATACTAGAAAAAATCGCGTCAAGTTGGTTGACTCCCCTCTGAGAAAAAAGCTACGAACACTTATGTAAGCATACACTTTTCTGCGTGTGAGTTACCCTGTAAAAGGTTCACTTGACACTTGGAATGCCGAGAAAGGCATTGCCGGCATACGCATTTCAACAACCACTTACGACCCTGGTAAATTTCACGCTGAGGCGCAGGCCCTCTTAGTTCATTCGAACATCAACTTTTGAAACGAAATTTAACCCGTATGAGACACACCGCCAATAGACAACCCTAGTTTAGGGTTTCCTTATGAACGGACTTCTATAATAGTAAAGACACTAAGCAATAAAATAATATTGATACGAGACAACCTGCATACTAATGTGAATATATCGGAGATTATCACACATAATAAATTAGAGTGGATTATAAAAAGCTCTGCTAGACAGCTAATCAGCCAAGAATGAAAACCTGTTCCGAACCAGGAAAAAAGAGACAGACGGTCATTAATAACGAATCAATCATTTGGGTTTTTTGTTTCTCGTTTCATTCCTTTTGTTCAACTTAACTAAATATAATGGAAACGGTATGTGATCTGCTGGATAGTATTTTCCCATAAGGATTGAAGGGCTTTATTTCAAGATATCGAAAGTTAGGTACGTTTTATGTAAATCGTTTATTGCTTAATTTAGATTGAAACGCTACAATAGGCTAACGTCAAAAGCAAAAGAAAAGTGTACAAAAGCACACTCAGCATTAATACTAAATAAAACAAACCAAGCACATTCGAAGGATAAAAATATAGACAAGTTCAAATCACACGTAATTATCTATATATATATAGAGAATATGATCATGCGGAAAAAAGTATATAACAACAAGTAGGAAAATAATGTGCGAAATCCGCAAAAAGGAGGAAAGTGGATTCGAGCAGAAAATAGCACAGGTAAACCGAGCGATACGTATTTCTGCTGGTTGGCTTCATCAGGCCCGAAATGAATGCACATATGAAACTACAAAAGTAGATACCTGTAGTGTTGTCTAATTGTTATCTTTGTCAGTTAGCTATATGAATAAAAATGGCGGACGAAAATACGTTTCTGTTGCTCAATTGACATTCACTACTCTATCATTTTGAACTTGTTCGCACTCTGGAATTTCTTTTTACTATACGTTGTGGCCTTAAAAAGGACCGATTTAAAAAATGAAGGTTTTTAATGTCCCCCTGAAGCCTGTCATGAGTAGACAAAGCTGCAGCTTTTTTCGTGGTAACTTCACTTTAACTTTTCAATTATCCCTCGGTTTATCTCAAATCAACAATCAGATTAATGGGGCGTTTGCACCGAATCTTAATCAAGAATCACGCTATTTTTCTCTCGTATACCAATTTGACTGCGTAAACCAATCGTACAATCTCAAACAAGAAGTGACGTGGATATGTGGTCTCGAGTCTGGCGAGATGCCATTACTTATAATTTCTTGCACACCGCATATGTATATACCTGCATTGGAATTAATTTAAAAATATATCTTGTATGTGGACTTGCGACTTCCCGTCTATGCGTCTCTCTCTCTTTCACTACGAGCGTGCATGCCGTACGTTCCATCTTTTTCTACAACAGGTGTGCGTGTCCGCGACCGTCAGTGGCGCAGCAGTCCCTTTTCAGTACCACTATTGACGACTAACCTTCGTTAGAACCACATCATTTTCCAGGGACTGCAGAACATCACATCCACGATAAATCACGCGCTGGATACTTCCGCAAAGGATAGTTTAGGTTGCTATTACTGACTGGAATCTTCAAATTCTCTGTTGTCACACTAATGCTTCCAAGTAACCATTACTGCGTGCTCCTCGAACAGAAACTTGATAAAGAAATGCTTAATTTTGCTTGCCACCATCACGTCTACGAATTGCTGTTAAAAGGAGTGTTTGAATCAAAGATCGTCCAAGTGATTACAAGCCCTGACATTCCAAAGTTTAAAAAGTTTCGCGACAGCTGGAAAAGTGTGGATCCCGAGAAAATATAGAAAAGCTATCATGCCTTGAATTGACCAAAGAAGTTGCTAGAGACGACTATGGAGAATTAATAGAACTTAGAATATTCCTTGGCGGAGATACAGAGAAAAAGTTCCCAGCTCAAACTTTCTGATAAGGATAAGGCAGCTCCTTTAGATATCTGCATGTTCATCGTGACAACATACGTGAAACAGTGGTTGCAATGCGCTTTAGCGGTAAACGCACCTAACCATGACTTATGTTTTTTGCAAAAGAATTGACAAAACCAATTCAGTTCAGTATAAATGTGGCATTTTCTAAACATTTTATGTCAGTTTGGCAACACCGCCTCGGTAACTGCAGACTTTCACAAACGTTCTAGGATGAGGCAGCTCTGTTAGATATCTGCCTATTCATCGTGACAACAGACGTGAAACAGTGGTTGCAATGCGCTTTAGCGGTAAACACACCTAACCATGACTTATGCTTTTTGCGAAAAAATTGACAAAACCAATTCGGTTCAGTACAGATGTGGCATTTTCTAAACATTTTATGTCAGTTTGGCAACACCGCCTCGGTAAATGCAGAGCGAAACACGCGAATCTTTGGCAGAACGTCGAGCCATCTACGAGCGAATCGCCAAATTACCAACAGAATAAAAACATTTAAGAATAAGGAAAGTTTTCAGTCGATGGTTCGGTGTTCCTGATTTCACTTGGTCCCCTACCACTCAATTTGTATTGAACAAGAGGAACACGTAACTGCTACTTTGCTAGTCTTGAATTATGATTGTTTAATGTAAATTTGTTGTAATTTAATTTAAAAACTTGTAAGTGGCCATATCGAATATAAACAATGAAGGTCAAAGTTAAAATATTTAAATATTATTGCAGCTATGCTTACTATACTAAGTGACATATACATCCGAACACCCAGTTTAAATGGTTTTATTTTAATAAAATTTTGAATAAGTACTTAATGAAGCATAATAAGTAAATGATAAAAATTTCAAAATGATTGCACTGCTTTAAAGCCTTTTGACCTTTAATAATGTGTGGATGCACCCTGATGTGCTACGCATTCTCCAACGCGCCTAGGCATGCTTCTGATCAGGTGGTCAATGTCCTCCTGTGGAATCTCATTCCAGGCAACCACCTTTACTTCGGTTCAGTATCAATGTAGCACTTTCTAAACATTTTATATCAGTTTGGCAACACCGCCTCGGTAAATGCAGACTTTCACAAAATTTCTAGGATGAGGCAGCTCTGTTAGATATCTGCCTATTCATCGTGACAACAGACGTAAAACAGTGGTTGCAATGCGCTTTAGCGGTAAACGCACCTAACCGTGACTTATGCTTTTTGCGAAAGATTTGACAAAACCAATTCAGTTCAGTATAATTGTGGCATTTTCTAAACATTTTATGTCAGTTTGGCAACACCGCCTCGGTAAATGCAGACTTTCACAAACTTTCTAGGATGAGGCAGCTCTGTTAGATATCTGCGTATTCATCGTGACAACAGACGTGAAACAGTGGTTGCAATGCGCTTTAGCGGTATACGCATCTAACCTTGACTTATGCTTTTTGCGAAAGAATTGACAAAACCATTTCAATTCAGTATAAATGTAGCACTTTCTAAACATTTTATGTCAGTTTGGCAACATCGCCTCGGTAAATGCAGACTTTCACAAACTTTCTAGGATGAGACAGCTCTGTTAGATATCTGCCTACTCATCGTGACAACATACATGAAACCGTGGATGCAATGCACTTTAGCGGTAAACGCATCTAACCTTGACTTATGCTTTTTGCGAAAGAATTGACAAAACCATTCCAGTTCAGTATAAATGTAGCACTTTCTAAACATTTTATGTCAGTTTGGCAACACCGCCTCGGTAAATGCAGACTTTCACAAACTTTCTAGGATGAGGCAGCTCTGTTAGATATCTGCCTATTCATCGTGACAACAGACGTGAAACAGTGGTTGCAATGCGCTTTAGCGGTAAACGCACCTAACCATGACTTATGCTTTTTGCGAAAGAATTGACAAAACCATTTCAATTCAGTATAAATGTAGCACTTTCTAAACATTTTATGTCAGTTTGGCAACACCGCCTCGGTAAATGCAGACTTTCACAAACTTTCTAGGATGAGGCAGCTCTGTTAGATATATGCCTATTCATCGTGACAACAGACGTGAAACAGTGGTTGCAATGCGCTTTAGCGGTAAACGCATCTAACCTTGACTTATGCTTTTTGCGAAAGAAT